AATGTAATGTAAATTCTAGAACAGCAAAGACTTTGTCTGTTTTGTTCACCAATGTATTCCTAACTCCTATCTGTAGAGCAGGAAAATAGGCACTCAATAAATATTTTAATGACTAGTGTTCAAATATCTTCTTAGGGAATCTGCAATGCCAGTTGGACAGTAGCTTCCCAATGTTCCATTCACCAGGTCTGCCAGGATCAGAGATCCACCTGCTCCGGGTGTCAAGCTGTTTTGACTACTGAACATGCCAGATCCCTTCCCAATCCATTTTATAGCCTATAACTGGAAGGTGAGTAATGAAGAGAGAGAGAGAGAAAGAGAGAGAGAGAGAGAGAGAGAGAGAGAGAGAGAGAGAGAGAGAGAGAAGAGCAAAGGCTAGAAGATGAGGAGGTAACCTTTGAAATGGAAGAAACATTCAGCACTTTGTTCAGTGAAGCTGGGTCACTATCATCTGCTCCCACAGGCTCCCACAGGCTCCCACAGGCTCCCACAGGCTCTGAGAGTAAGCAAACCATAGGAGCAAGGGGTCTGGCGATATGTGAACACAGTCGAACTCTACCCTTGTGTTCATAACTCTCCAGGCCCAACTCTCCAGGCCCATAGGCCCTGTGTTTCACTAAGTGCTACATTCTCACTGCTTCTGTACTTAATGATTTCCCTGCCTGCGCTGTTCTCTCTTGCTTCAATTTATCTTTCAAATCACAGCTCAGATGACATCACTTGAAAGATACCTTCCCTGCACCTACTGTATTAAGAAGGTATTTTTCTGTCCCCACCCGTTAGTCTTTTTTCAAATTTTTCATATATTTACTGAACGCCTTCCATGTACAAGAAGCTATTGCACATGCTAAGGATGCAACAGTGAACGAGACAGATAAAAATCCTCCCCTTCATGGAGTTCACACCCTATTAGTGGTCTGAGACCATAAGCAAGAAAAATATGTAAAATATACAAAATTTCAGATAGCAGTAAATGATTTTGAGGCAAAAAGAGCAGGGAAGGAGGATCATGGTGGCAGTGGTGTTAGAGAGCTGAAATTTAACTACCATGGTTACAGAAGGGCTCCTTGAGAAGGTGACAGGTGAGATCATATGGAGAAAAAGTCTGCTAAGCAAAACTCAAGGAGCTGGGAGTGTGACTCTGGTAGAGTGGCCCGAGACCAGCATCACAGAAAGATAGAGAGAAGGAAAGAGAAAGGAGAGAAAAAGGAAGATGAGGATGAGGAAGAGGAAGAACAGAAAGAGAACAAAGGGAAGGAGGGAGGGATAAAATAAGGAAGGCAGACAGGCAAAACAGGGCAAGGTAAGGATTCTGGGCTTTTGCTTAGTGAGCTGGGAGCCTCTGCAGCATTCTGAACAGAGGAGTCCTGAGATCTGGCTAACACTTTAACAGGATCTAGGGGCTACATCTTTTGGTTTTTCCTCATGGCTAATTAGTTTTTCAATCAGAGCATGATGTTTAGGAACCTAGAACAGTAGCTCCACCAACAGGAGATAATCTAAGAACAAGAGGTTTGTGAAGACAAAATAAGTCAACACATACAAAGCCTTTGGAGTCTCTTGCCCATTTTATAGCCAAGTGGATTTGATAAATATTAGCCACCATTATTCTCCACAGGGAGAGTGTTTACCATCTCTTTGCTCCACCCTACTTATCTGGAATCTCTGGACACTCTGGTGGTAACAATGGTAGTTCAAGTTAATCTACCGCTAGTCCCACATTTCTCTCAATCTTTCTGGGATGACATGAGGATGGACATCACTTCAATAGTGCTTTGAATCCCTTAGGAGTCAAGGAACCCTAATATTAATTCACTTATTTATTCATTAAAATTGTGCACTGACTGCACCACACTTCTCACCAAGTGCTAGAAACCCACAGTTAAGATAAGTGCTTGTGAACACTTTTTACTAAGACAGTGCAGTAAACAATCATGCCCACGGTGACTGTTGCTACAGGACACCAAGGAAGGATATCCAGCTCAGGTCTACAAGCTGGAGACCATCTCAAGGGAACCATCAAATAGCGCCTCAGCAAAGGTCAGGTGGGGGTTGGGGAGCAGAAAATGAGATTCAGGCAGAAGCAGCACAAAGCAAAGACAGATACAGACGCTGGGCTTGCAGAAGTGGACGCCATTGAGTTTCACTGCAGCTTAGGAGGTGGAAGTATAAAGTAGAAGGATGAAAAAGAAGACCAAGAAGGAGTCAGAACCCAAAAACCTCAAATGGCATGTTAAGAAAAGTGAGTTTTAAATTGAGGGCAATGAGGAGCCACTGATGGATTTTCAAGCAAGATTTTCTTTTTAAGGATTCCCCCACCCATTCAGGTGGTACTTTCTCTCTGGGGCATTTGTTCCTGTTTGTGTAGAGATAAAGAATAAAAACTTTCTTCTAACTTGTGATAATATCAATGACTCACTCATCTTAGGCAAAAAGATATGTTCAGAAAGAGAAATATCTTCAAGCAACAGATGTCCCACAACTTTTACAAATACATCAATGTACACAATCCATATCGAAGGCATGCTTGTTTACTGCTAGCACTTGAAGTTTTAGTGCCTGGAGAGAAAGACACACAAGTTTTAAGGATGAGTAGCAAAAGATGAAAGTCCAAGCCCAGACTCTGTAGGACCAACAGACTAAACTTGTTCTGAAACACTTTTAGGAAGTGAAACAAGAAGGGTGAGAGAAGTCCTGAGTACATAAAAGTCTGTTTGCAGAAGGAAGCAACACCCGAAAAGCCAGGCTTGCCAGTCTTCTTCAGACACAGGCCCCAGCAGGCATCATCTGGCTTAGGGTCAAAGCACCCTCATAATTACAGGTTCTACATAATTTCCTCATTCCACACCCACAGAAACTGGGGGTGGGGTAGGGGCAGGGGTGGTCTGTATTATTTTAGATTGAGGTTATGAGACTCAGTTAAAGTAAATTGTCCAGATCACGTTACCACTGTGAAGCTGCTGATCTGGGGTTGGAGACCAAGACTGACTGATGGGGAGCAAGGAGTGTTTTTTCTACTGTAATTCTGAGTCCTCCAAGCCACTCAGGATAAAGTTTCTGATCAATCCACACTCAACAGATATCTCCACACAACCTCTGAGGAATCTGGTTCTTTGAAAACAAGTAAAACTGCCCTTGTAACAGCTTCTAAGAGGTCAGAAAAGTCAGGCAGACTCAACTCAGGATGGAAAGCCAGATGCTCTGAGTTGTGTGCATGTTCCTACTATTTGTGATGAGTTGCTTTATTTCAAATCCTGCCCTGGTAGGGTGGGGATAAGGTGACAATAGTTTAAGTTTCTGTGAATTCAATGGGACAAGGAGAATAGATTGTAGTGTTAAAAAAAAAAAAAACAGTAACCACAATATAATATTATAATATTTATATCACAGCTTTTCAAACGTTCACAGGTTCCTTAAGGTTTACAGCATCCAGGAGAAGGTAGGAAGGCAGAGGTCTTTTCTGTTTGACTATTAAGGGAAAGTGAGGCAAAACTGGAGCAAATGAGTATTCGCAAAGGAATAAGGCTCAGATTCACAGATTCCATCCTTTTTGCTACCAAATCATCTCACCAATTTTCAGCAAAGATAACACAAACTTGCACATTTTTCACAAAGGTACCCTCCCATTGGGTACATTCTTCCAAACCTAGAGCCAAAGATCTGCTAACAGTCCTGTGTCTCCTCACTTTACTTAGGAATGAAGATCAACTAATTGATTCTGGATATTTGCTTCATGGATAGGCTGTTCTGTGTCTCACAGGTAACATTCAAGAAAATCTTAAAAATCTTGCCCTGAAAGGTGAACTACTGGGGCTGGAGATTTAGCTCAGCGGCATAAGCCCCTGCCTTGCAAGTAGGCAGTCGTGAGTTCAATCCCTGGTATCAATAAAAACATACAAACAGGGGCTGGGGATTTAGCTCAGCGGCATAAGCCCCTGCCTTGCAAGCAGGCGGTCGTGAGTTCAATCCCCGGTACCGATAAAAATGAAAAAGACAAAAAAAAAAAAAAAAAAAAAAAAAAAGGTGAACTACTTAAAGCAGCAGCTTGTAGAATATTTTTTTCTTAAAGAAAGTGCACTGAATGCTCCTCTTGAAGATCAGACAAGATGCAATAAAGCCACACCTTGACAAAGATCCATATAAATACAATGGTAGCTAAAAAAAAATTAAAATGATTCTCTACCCCATCGCTGCTCCAGCTTCTCCTTGCTGTCTGCACTTTGCCAGTCTCTAAAAACTTAGCTGGGGCCTGTGTCTGAGGAAGACTGGCAACTCTGGCTTTTGGGGAGTCGTTTCCTTCTGCAATTGAATAGCCTCTGCCAGTCAATTGACATATATGTGATTTAATCTTCTACTTTAGTGTTCTCATGAATAAAATGGGTGACTATAAGGTTTAACTTTAAATAAAGTGCTAAGCACAGTGCCTTGTACACAGTAAGAGCTAAATAACCATAGCCGGCATTCCCCTGGTTTTTGGCTTTAGTTCAGGTGGGTCCTCACTTCGTCACCTTGTTAACCCTTGGGATCCAAAGAACAAAACAAACCGAACCCTAGACTAGGAAGGAACAGGCGGCACAGGGCCATTTCTTGATTTTCCTCCCTTCTGGACCCTGGCAAAGAGATAAAGCCTTGAACTACGAGGAGGCCTCAAAAGAGTCCCGGAGATTAGTGTGAAGAGGGAAACTAGGGCCGGAAGAGAAGTTTTCCCTCTGGCCGGGGTGAATTCTTCGGAGCCCTGAGTCTCTGGGGCGGAAGCCTCAAGAGAGGCTGCAGACTGGGGTAGCCAGTGTGCGGGCAGTCGGTCGACCGGGCGCAAATGAATGAACACGCAGCCCCTCCTCCTCGTCCCGGTTTAGGGACGCTACGCGAGCCCCTCTAGCGCGCTGTCCTTTCCGTGACCTCTGACCCCGCAAGTCCTTTACCTCCAGTCCTTCACCTCAGACCCCCTTACACCCCGCTCTATTTCTTTCTCTGCTTCTTCGAGCTCCCTATTTCCTTACCCGAAGGTCCAAATGACACTCGGCGCCACGGCTTGGTTAGGTTTCGCAGCAAAATGTCCGCGGTTTTCTCCTCCGGACTCCACGGTGCGTACAAGCTGCCAGCCGCTCGGAGCCCCGCGGCTGTCACCTGCCGGGCGGAAGTGAGCAGCCCGCGCGCGGGCACTTCCGGTGGACGCACGGCCTGGGGGCGGGGTCAAGAGTACAACTCGAGGGGGGGTGGCGCCTAGGGGCGGGGCAAGAGAGGAAGCTGCGAGAAGGGTCGGGCTGTTTGGTGTTAACTTCTGCGGTCCGGTCGTGGTGTTGGCGCTTTAGTCCTTATAGCTCTCAAAACACTAGCCACGTGATTGCTAAGTAATGTAGTGTGATGGAATCAGAAAGGGTTCTGGAGACTTCGATCCGCGAGGTCCCCCTCGGTCTTACAGGCGGAGAAACAGGCTGTGAGAGGGACAGGATTTTAGTCAAGGTCACTTAAGAATGGGAGAGTCAAAAACAACAGCTGTAAATCTTGGCAAGCGCAAGACTGAAGCTGGTTTGCTAGAATGAAGCTAGACTGTTGAACTGCAGCGCTTTTGAGAATTCAGCGTTCTAGGGGAAAACATCCGATCTTGCAAGGAACTCCGTAATGTACCATTTCTATTTCACTGGGAACTTAATTGCTCAAGTCACCTCTTCCTAACTCTGCAACTATTAATTTTCTCTTCTTTCTGGATAATTGCTCTTCATCACCTTTAAAACATATAACCTCTACTGTTCCAATTTATTTTATTCAACAAATAATAGTGGCATTATAAAGAAATGGAAATATACTAGTAAGTAAAAGAAAACCAACCAAATAAATAAATAAATGAATCACATGTAAGCAATCTCATTCCCCTAAGACAATCACTGCAAATACAGTAAATATCTTCCTAGATTTGATATACCATCTGGTATTTTTTAGTGTATGTGCTGCCAAAGTTAACACTATCGTCTGGCATTTTTAACTTACAAAGATATTGGTACAACTTTCCCACTACAATAAATACGTTTGGTACAACTCTTCTAATAAAATAAATACTTTTCTACTTGGTACTTTCTAATACTAGTATAGTCTTCCATAATACAGTGGCAGGGTTTTTTGTTTTGGTTTGTTTTTGTTTTTGTTTTGTTACCAAGAACTGAACTCAGAATCTTGTGCTTGCTGGGTAGAATATGATGGTACTGCTATTCTTCCATATGACCCCTTAAAATTGTCTACTTAGGTTATCAACCCTTTCAATATTATAAAAGCTACATGGGGCCAAGGGTTTGGCTGGGCAGTCTAAGCACCTGCCTGACAAGCACAAGGTCATGAGTTTAATCCCCAGTACCAAAAAAAAAAGCATTCAATATTATAAAAACTTAATAATAAATAACCTTGCACAACCATCTGTATGTCCTTTTATAGTTTCAATATTTAATATAATTTCATATGTGTAATCAGCCTCAATTCCTTTTTAGAATTTTTAAAAACTATAAACTTACAGCAAGTTATAAAAATAGGGCAGTTTCATGCACCCTTCACCCACTTTCCTTCAATGATGACATTTTATATATCTGTAATGTGACATTAAAACCAGGAACTTGGCATTGCTAAAATACCATTATTGCAAACACAGACCTTATTCTGCTTTTAAAATCATTTTTGAAGTAGAAATAAAGAAACAGATTTCTTTTTTTTTTTTTCTGCAAAAACAACATACATTTATGTTCTCCTAGTTCTGCAGGCTGGAAGTCTAAACTCACGTCCAGACTGGTTTCTTCTGAAGCCTTCCTCTTTGATTTGCTGATAGCTGCCTTTTACTATGTCTTAACATGGTCTTTCCTCTGTGCACCTAGCATAATTTTATAGATAGGTGCCACGCACTACATACTATGCACAAATGTTTGGAGGGACTATTTCTTTCTTTTTTATTTTTCAGTTTCTTGAAATGGGTCTTGCTATATAGTTCAAATCAGCCTTGAAAAAAACTAAAGGAACTTTTTCTAGTGATAAATGTTGGCAAATGTCATTAGCCTTACTGAAAAACAAAAATTTCATTGGGAACATGATACAGAAAGAGAAAAATTTTCCAACAAGACCAACAAACCTAGAGATACCAGGTTGGAGAGCTTATGTACAAGTGACAAATTAGTTGTAGAAGCAGAGCTTTAAGATTTCCAAGGAGACAGTGGGCACTGGAACCAGCTGCCCCAGAAGGACTTCCCAGGGAAGGTGCCATTTATGCTGTCTTGCCCGATGAAAACAGAGTTGCATAGGCTGAGATGGCAAGAAAAGACAATCCAGGGAGAAGGAAGGAAGGCTCCCGAGTCCTTTGTTCAAGGGAGCTGGACATCTGACATCTTCAGAGAGCTTGAGCAGTCCAAACCCCCTGCTCTGCACCAGAACCTGGGCTAAGTGCTGGACAGTCTAATGGGTGAGGCCGAGGCCCTGCCCTTGCTGTACCGACTGTTTGTTTTGGGGAAAGTAACAGAGCAGTAGGTACAAGTGTGATTGGTGCTATAATAAGGGACGTGCTAACCGTGGGAATCCTGAAGCTTCATTTGTTTGGAGGGATTGGGGGAAACAACACAAGTGGAAGTATTTAACCTAGAACTTCAGAGCAAGTGAATATTTTGGTGCACCAGTAGTATAGCAGGTGGCATGCAGACCTTATTTGCTCCTTATATCACTCCCACGAATTAAGAACTGACTTTGCAGGGGCTGGGGATTTAGCTCAGCGGCATAAGCGCCTGCCTTGCAAGCAGGCAGTCGTGAGTTCGATCCCTGGTACCGATAAAAACAAAAAAGACAAAACAAAACAAAAGAACTGACTGTGGAACTGCAGCTCTGAGCACTTAAATTCAACAGTGTGAGCAGTAGAGATGAAGACCTTGGTCCCAGAGCCCCAGTTCTCACTAGTCCTACTCATCACCTAAAATACATTTGTCATTTCCACCTGAGCTTGCTATATTAGAGACACATTACTGTACAAGCATGGCCTAATCCACCCTTGAAGCTCACTGTTGAGTGTGGGAGAAATATATGTAAATGGACAAACTATAACTCTGAGTGACCTGCACGACCAAGGCTGCACAAACATCTCTGGCTCCAAACTCAGCCTGGGAAAGTCACAGGAGACTTCCTGGAGGAGGTGACACCCAATTTAAACCATGTAAGGTAATGTTATGTCTTGTATCCCTTCAAAGCCTCATGCAGTAATAGGTGAGGGTTTTCAGAAGTGGCAGGATCTAGGATGTGTGATGCGGCATCAAGGATGTGATGCTGGAATTGATTCATGGTGCCAGGCTAGGATTAAAGGTGTGAGTGCTACCAGCTCTACGGGTGAGTAGCCTGGATAAAATATAAGGGACAGAAAGAGAGTTGTTTGTAGCTGCTTGTTGCCTTCTGCCTGCCCTGCTTTGCTATGAACTATTTCTCCTCTGTGATGCCCTTCTGTGATGCCAGCCACTCTGCCTTGGAGCCAGCCAAATATGAGCCAAAACCTCTACAAACTAAGAGCTAAATAACGATTTCCTCTTTTAGGGGCTGGGGATTTAGCTCAGCGGCATAAGTGCCTGCCTTGCAAGCAGGCAGTTGTGAGTTTGATCCCCCGTACTGATAAAAAGGAAAAAGACCAAAAAAAAAAAAAGAGAAAAGATTTCCTCTTTTAACTTAGGGTGTTGGTAAGACAAGTAAGGTCACAGTAGTACTAATAGTTACTGGAATCTGGGTACCATGCAAGGCTGATGTACATTTTCTTTTTGTGGTACTGAGCATTGAGGGCTTAGCATTGAGCTATATCTCTAGTCCTTCTTTATTTTTTATTTTGAGATAAGGTCTTGCTAGGTCATCACGTTGCCCAGGCTGAGACTGAACTTTCAATTCTTCTCTCCCAGTCTCCCATAGTACTGGGATTACAGGCTTTCACCGTCACCGTGCCTGAGCATAATCGACATATTAATTCACTGAACTCACCCAGTAGTTCAAGGTTTTCTAACTGTCCCCAAGTAGATGTGGGAAAACACTGCAGTGGGTAGAACTGGTTTCTATTCTACATTTCTACAGGCCCAAATCTTCTCTCCTACAGCTCAGCCTGACAGAAGAGGTAAAAATATAATAATAAGGGGAAGCATAGGTCAGTGCCAAAGTTTGGGTGATTACAGCTTGCCAGGTGGGTGACAGAAGTGGAGAAGAGATGCTCCCCAAACCCAGCTAGCCACATTGCATGAACAAGTCAGATGTAGCTCAGGGGCAGATCTTGTGCCTGGTATGTACAGGGACCTGAGTTCAATCCTCAGAACTGAAACAACAGCAACAACAGCACAAAACTGTAGCGACAACTGCCGTGCAACACCTGTGGCATATATGGCCTGTGTGACCCTCCGAGACCCCAGGGCACTCTGCCAATACCGTAGGGCAAGCACCAGTATATGCCTCTAACCGTCACTGTTCTTAAGAGAAGGATGGAATAACCCCATTTTACAGATGAGCACACTGTAAAGTCAAAGGATTTTCCCAACTGTACATAGCAGCAAGAGGGCGAGTTGAAAGTCAAGGCAGAGGCTGATGACTGGGGGTGGGGAAGTACTTTCCCCCTCAGGAGGTTTCCTCCAATCAGAGAGAAGTTGAGAGTTCTGATGGGATGTGCTGCAGGCACTGTGTGATATTTTAAGAAGTCCCTTCTCCTTTGTGACACACAGGACCTCAGAGCACACACTCTTCCCATCATTCCTCCATGGAGGGTACATAAGGACACAATCCACACTCCATGTCTGTAGGTCCTACATCTGTGATCTGTGAATTTAACAGATTGTGGATCAGATATATATATATATATATATATATATATATATATATATTCCTTGCCAAGCAGGCACTGTGCTGCTGAGATACATCCCAAGCCAGGACTAAAAATATTTAAAAACTGTGTATGGTGGCACGTGCCTGTAATCCTAGCACTGAGGGAGGCGGCTGAGGCAGGAGGATTGCAAATTAAATCCCAACCCGGGTATTTTAGTAACCAAATGAGGCCCTGCCTAAAAATAAAAAAGAGTTGGGGATGTAGCTCAGTATGAAGGCCCTGGGTTCAATCACCAGCGTGCAAATAATAAAAAATAATTGCATCTATACTAAACATGCAGTTTTCCCCTTGTCCTTACTTCATAAACACTATTC